TATTTTATATTATCTATATTTATATAAAATTTATATTAAGCCAAATTTTTTAATACTTTAGCAAAAGCATTCTTTCCATGTAATAACGAATGATGTATTACAAGTATATGACTTTTGCCCTCCGATATAATGATAACAGCGGTGAAGAAATGTTTAAAAGCAAATCGTGCGTAACGATCCAAAGCGCGTTTCACGAAACGCGTGATAGTTGTGAAAATATAATTAAAATTACATAAACGTGCGCATATCGTAACTTCCTCGCGCGTTTCGTAGAGAGCCCGAGAAAAGGAAACATGGAATCTGTTCCTCCCTTCCTCCCACGTCAGTGCTTTCCCCACTAGAAGATGCGATAACCACTCGACGAGATGAACGATAATCGGCCGTAGGCTCTTTACCCTCGCACTTACACGACTGCCTCTTTGTGTCTCGTATCTCCAATGCTTTTCAGAAAAAGCGCCTGTGATCGATAGGGTACTAACGCGGAAGTGACTCTTTTTTTTTTCCTTATGGCAAGGGATATAGCATCGATGAAAATTTCTACTAGGGTAAATATTCTCGGCACAAAGCACGAAAATGGGATTATTTGCAGCACGGAGTTTTCTTCTATATTTGCGATTAAGGCGTAAAATTTTATCGAAATTTATTACAATTTTATGCACTGAACTCATGCACACGTGTGCTGTAATATTTTTACTTAACTGGTTCCGAATGTAAATATGTATTAGGAAATATATTTTGTGAGTGATGACAGGTGTGGGTACCGATAAAATTATTCATGCTGTAATATCACTCCGCTTACCAATAATTTCTCGAACAACGATCACAAGATTTACACAAAAATTTAACAATATCTTGCAAATTGTGCAACGCGATATTACGTACGGTAAACATGAATACGAAGACTAGCTTTGCGTTAAACAAACAGAGTAAACTCAATGTAATTGACACATCGATATATCCAACAATTTCCAGAAACAATAAAATGTACTACGACAAAGCCATTTCCAAGTGACACAACGGAACCAACCCTATCACCATGAAAACCTTTCACTTTGCACACAGTCGGGAAGAGCGTAAAAGGAATAAAACGAGCGTGACTGGTTTAGTCAAGCAAGATTTTTATTTCCACACACGTTCCACAGTAAAAACAATTCGAGCGGGATTCATCGAATCTTCTGACGGCGGGAATTTCTGCAACACATTTCGCGAGCGACGGAAGCGCTGCGTCGGGAAACGGCACTTCCGTCTCGGGGAAACGAAAATCAGAAGTCATCCATAAGATCCGCACGACCAGTGTGACTACACGCTTTCAAATTTCAACGATTTCGTCCAACCCTCGTGAGGGACGCCAAATTCGACTCCATCGTGCCGCGCTGCTCTTGTAACACGTGTGTTTTCCGTGCGGCCGCCCCAACGTTACTGTCAGACCGACTCCAGCTGCTTAGGCCGATCAATACGGTCTAGATAGTCGAGATGATTCAGATGACGGCGGGCCACGCCATTAACTGTGGATAGAACGTACGCAGCAGCGAGATTCGCATCGGTGATAAATGGTAAGTTAAATTACCAGAAATAAATACTTAAATTAATTATCGCTTTATTGTAAAATGGTATCAATTAGGATATCTGATTTTCAGCAGATTTACAGTAAAATATCTAAACTCTTATTTTTTGAGGAGGACCTGATATTATGGTCGAAACATCTGTAATTGGTGATTGACATATATATTATTTTAATTACACACGTACAACTGGTGTCGATTCTTATTAGCTTTATACTCCTTTATTAATTTAATTTTTAGAACCTTTTTTAATTTTAATTTTAATTTTAATTTTTAATTTTAATTCTTATTTTCTTTTTAATTATATCTTCTGATTCTTAAGAAGATCTTTATTAAGAGAGTCGTCTGAATGTATATATATTGTATTTTATGACAGAACTTTTTAATATATTTTTAATATATTTTTAATTTCCTCAATTTAATTTTATAGCGTCTTAATGTTGTCTTCGGTTTTCTTTTAAACAAAGTAAATTTCAAATTATTTTATTTTTCTATTTTAATTATGTTCGATATATTTCAGAATTATGTTATATATTTCAAAAATTTTCATTTATTAATTAAAAATTCACTTATATTGTTTAATTAAAAATCTCATTCATACTTTATAATTATATTATATTTACATACTCATATTAATTATTCTTTATATTATATTTATGTACTCATATTAATTATTGTTTATGTTTCTTAATTATTTCAATTTCTTTTTTACTGATTGATTTATTGGAAAGTATTTTGTGATTATTTGCTAATATTCGCAGCATCAGATAATTTCGTGAATGAATTATCTTTGAATTTTTGATGTGTACAATTTTTCTTCCGCAATCAACCTAAATAAATGATGATTGTATCCTGTCTAACGGCGCACCCTCGCAATTCTTCGAAATGAGTTCTATCCTATATTGCCCATATATATATCAAACTAACACATTAAAAACTTCTTCTTCTAAGCAAAAAATTGTGAGATTATGCATTTAGAAAAAAAAATATAGTATGATTGATATTATATAATTGCACGATTGTTAATATAATTAGTACTCTTAATTATTTTAAGTTTCTCTTTTACTGATTGATTTACTGAAGATACATATTATTTGCTAATAATTCGCAGCAGACAATATAATATAATTAGTATTATTAAGACCGCATTTTATTAACGAACATAATATAAACACATTAGTATTAAGAAAGCATAAAATATAAAAGGTGTTTTGTAATTGTGAATTTTAAATGCTATAAGATATGATATAAGCAAGGTCGCAAGTACAACGAATAGTACAGAAAACGATGCGAAGGCAGATGGCTACGTAATAAAGAGAATACTAGAAATCACAAGTGAGGCGCTTTATTGACCTCCTAACTTTTATATAATCGAGCACGAGTTCAGCTGATCATCCCTGTACATATCTCGCTTGCGTACAGCCAGATTAAGTCAACGAAAAGATAAAGAACGAAAGAAGCAACGAGGAACGAGCACTGATTGACTTCCGTTTGTGTCTGTCTTCTTTCCAGATATTTTGTATCAACTCACGGTGCTGTCTCGGGATCAGCAACAGTGCGGGTCATAATCAGGCATAATCAGGAAGATCTTTATCAAACGGAAGCACATGCAGTTACTAGCAAATCCCGTATAATCGAAGAAGAAGACGACGCTTGCTCACAAGAGTGTCCTGCAATGCGAATTCTGTGGCGGCAATTTCATCCGTGAACAGGCTTTTAATTTGTATTTAAAGATGCACGATCCCCATTCAGAAGATCAAGTGCAGCCGCAACGTGACGAGCAATTGGTCTGCGAGAATTGTGCCTGTAGCTTCATGACGATCTCGGAGCTGCGTGAGCATCAGAAGGAACACGTTGCCGAGGACTATTTTAGATGCGACAATTGCGACTACGTGACCTTCTACAAAAAGGACTTAATCATCCATCAGAAGAGTCACAATGTGTCTTCAATTATAAGTATTAATTATAAGTATCAGTGCGAGGAATGCGGCGAACAATTCCAGAGCAAGAGCGACTGCCTGCTACACCTGTTGTCGCATACAAATAATAAGTTGATTCAGTGCGATGTGTGTAACGTCACATTTCGCCATTCCGAAGGTCTACGATTACATTCGAAGATACATCAACCGGACTATGTACAGCCAGAAAGTAAACACCTCTGCAAGGTATGCAACAAGAGTTTCTCTCAGAGACAAGTGTTGCTGGTGCACATGAAGATCCACGACGTGGAAAACAAGTACGTGTGCACGACATGCGGCAAGTCCATATCCAGCAAGTTTTTTCTCACTGTGCACCAACGCAGGCACACCGGCGAAAGGCCTTATGTTTGCGACATTTGTGGGAAAAGCTTTATCTCGCGGAAATACTTAAGCCTACATTGTAAAACACATAGGGGCGAGAAACCGCATGAATGTACTTATTGTAAAAAAAGATTTGCTCAACGGTACCCGATGATGATACATCTACGAAGACACACAGGTGATCGTCCTTTTCCTTGCACGCACTGTCACAAATCGTTTATTACAAAAGTGTTGCTGAACTCGCACTTAAAAACGCACGAGAGACGAAATGCTCGACAGCAACAGAAACAGAAACAGCAACAACAGCAGCAAGAAAGTTCGCAACAGGGAAAGGAATCATTGCCGTCCGAAACGGTCACTAAAATGTTGTAATTAGGACAGTGATTGCTTAGATTCTATACTTTTTTTTATGTAATCAAGCTTGTTTATTTCTCTTATGTTTCAGCATTAGCAGAAGATACAAAGAATGTATATAAATAACTGCTAGGTACTTTGCAATCTACACAAATCGATAAGCGTTTTAATTCTATAAAATAACTGGTGAAAGTATCTATATTGTAAAACTACTCCATATACAAACTACTCCGTAGTTTCATGAAAAATGAAAAAAACATATATATTTATATGTGAAATATAATATATTTATAAATGTATGTTTCTCTTTCTTTCTCTCTCTCTCTCTCTCTCTCTCTCTCTCTCTCTCTCTCTCTCTTTCTAAATGGACTCTAAAAACGTGTTTTCTAAAGATATTAAAATTAATTGTCACCTAATCTCGTCTCATTTTGGTCAATCTACCCCACATAGCCATTTTTAATAAAAGAAATTGTATTCGCGAATTTTGTCAGGATAATGATTAATTAATTGTAGCAAAGATCTTCTAAGATATGTCATTTTCTATGAATACAGGGATATTGCAATTAATGATGCCAAAGACTTGTCAAACAATAAATTAGATGATAAAAAAAACTTACTCACCAACTTCATTTTCTTAAAAATCGTTATAAATAATATATACAATGCTACTTGTGGTGCAAATTATTTTGCACAACAAATTAATAAAATTTGTATCAACAATCTACAATCAAAAAAAGAAATTTTTCTGCCATGTCCTGTTTGAGTTATATTTAATAAGCATTTTGACAATCAACCTCATATGAGACAACCAGCTCCGGTCTCGCCAATATGATTCTCAATTTGAATACTTATGCAGGTTTCCAAAAAAAATTTTTCAAAAAAAATAGCAAAATACAAAAAATCTTATGAACATAACAAACACGGATGTGTATGGTCACTAATAATTTCACTTTTCTTAGTCATGAATAATGAGAAGGTAGAAGAGCAAAGTATATGAATATCTATATTAAAATAAATCAAACACTTGTTGATTCTCAGTGAATATATTACTCTATTTTAATCATCGATAAAATTTTCACTGATTCCGTTTAAGAAGAAGAAGAAGAAGATATTAAAAACATACGTTACATCATCCCCAGGCATGATGCTCGCCAACAAATCAACGTGATAAATCGCTGGGTGGGGCCCGGGTCATGTTATAAAATTGCACTACATTCGGAAAGAATTGATAGATGAAAGGCGGAAACAAGCAAATCGACTTCCATATCGCGTAACTTTACAATTGCAGCGACTTAAAAGTATTGAAACAGGGGAGCAACTATCACAGCTACTATTTTTTATTATTATTATAAAAGCTGATAACGTGCTGCATGAGTTATTTAACTATTAATTTATATTAAAAACATTATATAGTTCTTCGACGAGAATTCTGGCGAAGATATGAAACACTGTAACGACGCAAATTTCGCTTCTAGGATTACTCTGAAACTTTCGGAATAATAAATTATGTCGAAGACAATGCGATCTTAATTACATCGTGTTACACACTAGCATTCTAATTGTTTCTCTCTCTCTCTCAGTTGGCTTTCACAAACTTTCAGATTGTATAACGATCGCATACATTATCACAAAAATAATAATAAACAGCAAAGTTAGACGATATATTTAAAAAAAAAACATTTAACTAGAGTTCCTAAAATTATAAATTTTAAAATTTAAACTTGTAACAAGGATTTATATTTTATATTTAAATTTTAACATTCTCTATATTACATTTTTTTAAACTATGTGATTTTAAATATTTTTTATATACTTTTTGAATATATTATATATTATATTACATTATATATTATT